CATACATTTATATAATCAGGGTATTTAAAGCATAGTTTCATACACGTAACAACCGTTTTATCTACTGTATGTAATTTGCTGTTACGAGAAATGGGTCTTCTCGGGTGGGCACTCAGTCATTGGTAGTAGACAGGTCTATTTCGAGGGCACATTGATCAGAAGGCTGTGTCCGACACGGCCTTAGCCTGCAACTACAGCCTACTACAATTGTATATAGGGTGCAGCCGTGCTGTATTTGAAATCTGGTTTACCGTATGTCATTTCAGGCGTGAAGACTGCGCAGTACAACTGGCTTCGCGTTAAAGAGCAAATAAATCTCCATATGCACGATATTGCTCTCCCATGGTAAATAAACTCCTAAGGAATGCTGGGAGTAGCCCTTGCGGTCTCCCGAAGAGGAGAGAGGTTTCCCTGTGGGCGCGCCGCTCGCTCAGAAGAGGCAGTACGCGATTGGTTCGCCTGGTTCTGATGCTCAACATAATCACATCTGAGGACCAGTGGAGAAGGGAGGCGATAATCTACGCGAACAGATGGGCTTGTTCAAGTCCCTGTCAGCGGACGTGCGGTTACCCCCCAGCTCTCACTATCCTGATCTATGGCACTGACATTTAACTCGAGCGATCAATAGAGCGAGATCGGCGCGTTTGCTTTCTGAGGAAACAACAGCACTGAGAGGAGAATACGTTTAGCTAACCGTGTCTGCGCCCCGTGTCAGTTTGACAGTTGAGCCTTTAACTCACCGATGTGGGTCCCCACCCGGGTGCCGAAAGTGCTGTCCCGAGGTGTCGGATGGAGCAGGTCTGAGTTGGCTTCCACATCGCTCCGCTGAACACAAGCGACGGAATTGGGTGCCGGACTTCTGCCGCCGCTTCACGCCTCTGCATTTCTGGAATACTTCAAGGAAAATATGATTTTCTCTGATATGAATACCGGGGCGAACTCCCCGAAGGTGCACCCACCCAATGGGACAAGGTATTACACGTTCCAGGCAAGTGTCTTTTCCTCACCTCAGATTAGACTATATGAATTTTTCTACCATTTGTGTGATGCTGCTTTTGCCTTGTTCGTGATTACGTTCCTGCTCACAAGACAAAAGATAATGGATGTAAATAGGTTCCGTGCGGAAACCTCTCCTCTGACTTTTGTTTTATTTTTCTTTGAAATAGAAGTAAAATTGTATTTTAATAGAATATTGAACAACGATTGTCCGCTTCTGAATATCCAGTGTTGCTTTATTTGGAACTGTTCATTGCCAAACGAATGCTGGGTGGAGTTTCTTGTTGGATTCGTCGGATCAATCATATTGTATAGGTAACACGCAGAGGGATGTTTACCTTATTAACAAAGTTTATTTATTTACTAACAGTGCAGTTACCCACAAATCTCTTCTAGCCTGTGCATTTACGTGCTGTGATGACTCCAAGTTATTCATAATTTATGGAACTGTCACTCTTTAAATTTAGCCTGCATGTATAATTTTGTTGTGGCATTTTTCTTGGTTTGGATTTAATTGGTGTTGTGGTTTTAATAGGCAAGATATATCATTTTCAGAGATACTAGAGTAGGCGTCAACCGCAGAAATACGAATTCCTTGGAGAACGGGCGTGCGAAAGTGTCACGTGGCTGTCGCGTATAAATAAGCATGGTGTTAACACTTTCGCTGTTCTTGCCAACGCGGCGCGAGTCGTTAAATAAATTATGATAATTCAGAGATTCTCACTGATCTATGCATGACTGAAAGTAACTTTTTTTTCTTACGCGGATGAATTCATCGCATATAATATTCTAATTTGAATGTGCATTTAAATAATACACACCTTGTATCCGAGGCACTGCAAATGTGTGCAGACAATATTTTGTTGATGTGACATGGAGGTGACAGCTTATTTTCCGAAGGACGTCCCTCCCCTGAAGACCAACCATTTGAATAATGTAGTCTGAATATCTTTTACTGGATGTGAGTGGCTCAGCGTAGCTGCTGAAAACTCACTGATGTACGGAGAAAATGATGAGGGGGGGTGGGGGTGCTAATTTCATGCGCGTTCAGTATGTGTGACATACTGTCATGCTCTGTCTTGTGTTGGCAGAGGAGCTGCATCACTGAAGCAATGTGATTTGCAGGTACTCCTTCAGTTACTCCCACCTCAACAAAGCAACACATTTATTGAAGTTGATCAGAGTGGATTATGGGTAGACTCTAGCCCCATGTTTCAAGCATAGTGAAGTGCTGATGCATTTGTCTAATAGGAGAAATGGCGAGGTGCTGTGAATGTGTGCAGGGTTGTTCTTTGTTGTTGCTGAAGTGATGTTTAGTTGAAGTGTACTCTTCCTCGGAAGACATTGGACGTTCTGCTTCAGTGTGTACACCCAATTTTCACCAAAATGACTACTGATACACTGTAGTCATCTTGACGGCTGCTTGTGAATTCTGTGACGCACAAGGAAGCCGCGAGTATTTGAGGTAGAGTTACATTAGCCTGTACTCTCAAAACCTGGGCAATCTAGCATTGTTTCTCAACTTTTTTTAAGAAAGTCTGACAAGAAAAGATGGACGTATTACCTTAACCAATCTTTCCAGAAAAAAATGCAGCAAGCGGTTGAGTGGCTGAAGACTCAGTTTTGCTTTGGTACTGTGCGAAATGGTAGAATCGGTCCATTTCATTCGCAATTGTCACAGAAAACCGTTTCGAGCCATTTGCTTGTGTGGAAACTCTTAGGGAGCATCACATGCTCTGGTGAGACAGGTGGATTGTGTTCAAGCCCTGGTGACTATGCTTGATTTAGCATTTTCATGCAGCTTGGTATTTCTTTCATGCAAGACCATTTTGCATGAAACTTTTTAATTGTGAGAAGGCTGAGGCCATAGTTGGACTTTGTTGCAAGGCAATGACCTAAAGCACATCTCAAGATCCAGGCATAATTGGTTCCGGGGCAAAAAAAAAAAAAAAAAATCAGCAATCTGCAATGACCATCTCACAGCCACCAGGCCTCAGTCCGATCGAAAACTTGTGGGTTGACCTGAACACGGCAGTTGATAAGTGCAAACCCAGGAATTTGACTGATCTTGAAAGGATCTGCACAAAGGAATGGTCCTAAATCCCTCCAAATGTGTGTGGATTTGCATTTGGAGTCTGTTGCTGTTAACTCTCTCTATGAAATCAAAAGAGGTTTCATTGGCAGAGAAATAAGCTGTCATTTGGCTGAAAAATCAAAAAGTAAACTCTTAAGAGAAATAGCAAGGTGAGGAAAAGTAATTTTTAAAGATGAAGAATGCTCCAGTAGGAACACCAAATGACTCAGACCACAGAAACAACCGTGGTGGGTGACATGAAGACCACTGTACAGTTTTTCTTTTCATGAAAAAAAAAAATCCTGCACAACAGTTGACCAGACACTCTCCAGTATATTAAAACAACTGCGTCAACGTCAACTATCAAGAGAAGACACCAGCAGAGTGAAGACAGGGGTTTTACCTCAAGATGTACTGTAACACACTGGTCAAGATGATGCGTGGGCATGTGTGGCAGCCAGTGGAACCATTCCTGTTGTATTTGTTTGGTGATTTGACAGCCGACAAAAAGAGGAGGATGTATGCTACATTTTATAGGGCTATTTTATCTGCTCCAAGTCAGCTAAATGCTTCAAAACTCATTCTGTGGTGCTTCTGAATGCAGATGAACAGTGATTCAAAACAGAATGCAAAAACAACCCAACAATTGTGGAATGCTCTACAACAACTATGTCCTGAGTCCAAAGGAACGTGCTTTTTACTTGCTGGAGGTAAAACTGATGGGTAAAGCCCCAACAATGAGCAGAACTGGACACAGCTGCAGTGAAGGCCTGGCTGTGCATCTTCAGAGCAGAAATCCATCATCTGGTGATGGCTGTGGGTTCCAGACTTCAGGCAGTCATTGACTGTAAAGGATTTCCTACCAAATATCAAAAATGAAAATTGAATTTATGGTTACGTTAGATACTTTTGAGCTCCTAATACTTGGGAGGGGTCAATATATGTATAAAAATAGTTGTAATTTTTTTACTCGGTGCGTATAATATGATTGGGTCAGAGCACCTCCAAAGCACTTGGTCCTGTGGGGGTGTGCCTGTCATGAAATAGTTAGTGCCTACCAAAGGTGGTCCAAGGAAGGCCAACTGATGAACTGGTGATCGGGACCTGGGCACCAAAGTGTACGTTGTTGCGCGTGGGTTTCTAAGGCTGGCTCATCTGGCTCAATCCCGCCGAAGAGCCGCTCTACCACAAATTGCTGAAAGAGTTAATGCTGGCAATAATGGAAAGGTGTCAGAGCACACAATGCATCAGAGCTTGTGGTGTAGCCGTAGACTGCTCACAGTGCCCAGACTGACCCCTGTCCACCATTGAAGGTGCCTGCAGTGAGCGTATGATCATCAGAACTGGGCATTGGACCAAGGGGGCCTGGTTTGATGGTTAGGTGCGTGTGTGTTGATTAACACAGGAAAACATGGCTCCAGGATGCATCATGGGAAGAAGGCAAGCTGTCATAGGCAGTGTGATGCTTTAGGAAATGTTCTGCTAGGAAACCTTAGCTTCTGGCATTCGTGTGGATCTGACTTTGACACGTACCACCTACCTAAAAAGAATGTCTAAGAGTCTGCCTCAGTCTTGCTGACTCAAATGCATAATTTCCATGTAGTTCAGAAAAAAAAGATGCCATATTCCTCTGGCTGTTTATTCTCTTCCAGATTTTACAAGTGGTATTTTCTACTGGAACGCATTTCTTCATTTTAGAATGCCACAATGCTATAGGGATTAGAAGGCCAGATTTATATCTCTCAGTAAGAAATGTCTGTGCTCCAGCAAGCGCTGCATCAGCATATATATCATTCAAACTGTGAGACAGTCTGAAATTTTTAAAAATCATTCAATAAGCTCATGTCAGCTTCCGTCGGAAAAAGAGACCCTGCAGGATATGCTGGCGCATATGTCATGTCAGAGAGGCTAGACCGTGTTTCACAAACGGGGCGGCATGGCTCAGGAGGTAGAGCGGGCCTAGGAATCAGAAGGTTCCCGGTTCGATCCCTGGATCCTCCAGAGAACATGTTAAGTGTCCTTGAGCAAGACACTGAACTCCACACTGCTCCTGATGTGCAGGTTGTCGCCTTGCATGGCAGCCTCCGCCATCAGGGTGAATGTGAGGCATGAATGTAAAGCGCTTTGGGGTCATGTCATGTGACTAGAAAGCACTATATAAGTGCAGTCCATTTACAAAGAGTCGAATGTGACTTCGTCAACTTTCAGTGGAATGACGGTGATGTGGAAAGTTGTAGTGGAAAAGTTAGAATTAAAACTTTAATATTGATATGATGATGTTATCTTGGTCTGATGTCCCCTCAGCTCATGATCAATATCTGTCCTCAGACCTTTCTCCAAACCTTATTTTCGGTTTGTGTATTCAGGGAACCCTGTCATAAGAGCCCCAAGTGTTCTCAAGATCGATTCGAAGGAAGGCTGCAATCAACAAAATATCCGCTTCGAAGATAGGTCCTTCGGCATCTTTCTCTGTCCCCCTAATGAGACCCTCATGAAGTCCCAAAAGTCGCTAACTGCTAAAATAACGTCTCTGGCAACTGAAATGTGTCTTTCCTTGGCTGAAACGATGCTAATGTCCCCACCACGTGTTTCAAAGCAGGTACTCTCCTTTCAAACCAGCTTTTGTGGATTCTCATTCATGCACTATCAGGCTCACGGTGTTTACTCACCTATGATCGTTCAATCCAAAGCTAAGGCAGAACAGGGTCATGGTAGAATGTGTATGCCAGTGTAGGTGCACACAATATGTTGTCCATTCTATGGTTTTAAAGGTTCAAACTGTGTGTGTGTGTGTGTGTGTGTGTGTGTGAAATAAAATGTCATACAATTATCCAGGCTTAATTTAAGGTATTCACTGTGCATACTGACTTGACTGGTTTTGTGTTGTGGTGTAGTTGTTGCAGGCAACGTATAGCCTGGCAGTAAAGGAATATTACTGGGACTTAGAAGGTTGGTGAGTTGTTTTTGGGACCTTGAGCAATGCCCTTGACCCAGTACTATAATTAACTGTTTGTCCCTTTGAATAAAAGCATCAATCAGTTGAAGCACAGACTTTAAATGGCAAGCCTTATGGTGACTGGAACAAGTTTAAGAACCCAGGCAACACATTTCTTGTCCAGGTAATATGACTGACAGGTCCTGCCACCTACATCCTAGTGTCCCAGTTTTTTTTTTTTTTTTTTTTTTTTTTGCAAACAAACTGGTGTAGTTCAGCTCGAATGAGCAGGTTAAGCTCAGACCCCGGAGATCCCTGAATAGTCTAGTCTGGTTTCAGACCTCTTAAATCGGGTCTTTCTCATGTTGACTTCGATGGGCTAGTCCTTGCACCTTTGTGAATAACTTTGATAGTAGCCTGGTGGAATGACTTCAGCAGGCTGGTATTCGTTGATGCTCATGTGCGAATACCCGTTAGCACTGGCAAAGATAATTGCATAAATTATAGAATTCTGAGGGGAATGTGTCTTCCCCTGGGAGTCTATTAAGCTTGGGAATTTAATTGCAGTGATAATTTCTTCCTCAATAAAAGGCATTCTTCGTGTGGTACGGCAAAACGTTGTGCATAATTCTATGTAATGCACTATTAGTGTCTTTAAATTTGCTGCATTAAATTATTTATTGTTGCACGTAGATTGCTTTCGACCGTAAACTGTGAATGCTCCCGTGCCGGCTGTTGTAGGGCTGGCAGGTCATCATAAACTAAGGCGAATATCTGAAATGCCCCTGACTGCGCACGGGAAATTTCTTGGCCAATTAGTAGAACTGAAATAATGTTTAATCAAAACCCGCTAAACGAAGTATAGCTTTGTAATCTAGTTATTTAAGGGTTGTATATTTGTAGCGGAGCAGTCTTGCTTTACATCAGCCTTGAGACAGTATCATGTTCAGACGCATCACTCTCATTAAAAGCATATTATAGCAAAAAATGTCGCTGATAATAGGAATTCAAATTAAGACATGGCTCTCACAGCAATGCTTATAGCACTCTTCTTCACTGGATTTTGGTGAGAAGAGTCCTCCCAAAGCATAAACTAAAATGGGATGGCCGTGAAAATGCCGTGTCATTGCCCTGCGGTCTGGCAGGTTATACTGCTCCACAGAACCTGCAGATTCACTAGGAGATTAAGCACAGGTTTTTTTTTGCCACCTTGGCATTCATAAGTATTAGGACTGTGACAAAATTTTGAAAATGTCTTAACCCTTTCAGCGCCGTGGGCAACTATAGTTGCCCAATGATGTAAGATATCAAAATCAGACGCTGTTGAAAACCTGTCATGTGGCAACTTGTTTAAAAGAGCTCCCGCGGGGGAGCTCTTTTAAACAAGTTGCCACATGATAGGTTTTCAACAGCTCAGGATAACTACATTTTTAATTCCTTGAAAATGTATTCAGCGCTCAAAGGGTTAATCACTCCACATGGTTGCAGATACAGTATCTCGCATTAAATTAAACATAATATGGTTTGAAGTTTTTTACATACAAATTGAGTGAAATTTGTGGGGATTGCAGCCGTAAAAAAAAATGTGTTGCTGTGTAAATACTTATGAATCTCTCCGTGGCTCTCCAGCGAATAACTGCTGCCAAAGAAACGATTGAATCCTTGAGTTTCCAAAGGGCCCAACTCTAGGGAACACTCTTTTTCAAAATTGATTTATTTTTTTGGCCATGTTATGACCCCGTACATTTTTAGTTTATTCCTTTACATGAGAGTGTCATTGGGATACTTTTGGCTGAAATTACAAGAAAGTTCCCCTTTTTGTTATAAGATATGCAGACCTCTAATTCATTGGCGTTGGGCCCTTTGGAAACTCAATGATTCAATTGGAGATCATGGTCATTGAACCTGCTCTGTTGTCGAGGAAGCATTCTTCAGCTAGCGTCCTGCAGCCACTGCAAGGGGGAGAACATTGGCTGGGATGCCAGTTCCTCCCCCCTCCTGTGAAAACTAGACTGAAGCAATTATAGGTCTGGCTAAGGCTGGGACCGTGGTTTGGGGGTTCCTCGGAGGTTGTGTGGAGTTTACATTCGGGCTGTGAGGAGATGGATGAGGACTCTCTGCCGACTCATTAAGAGAGCAAGTTCTCCTTTCACAGGGTACAGGCTCTTGCACGGGCTCAGTTACAGCAGGCCTGAGTCATTTGGCAGACGGAGGGACCAAATGGCAATGCTGCACTTTAAACAAAATCCCATAGCCTGTTATAAAACCACACTTTCACTCTCATTTGAAGTTCAAACTCTAGACTTTGTTTTGGCATTGGTGGCGACAGTGCCTTTTGGCCGAGGGGGGTCACAGTTAGGACAAATCCTCGCAGAGTCTAATCGTTGGCCGCCATTTTAATCAGGCCCATGGCTCGCCCTTTCCCCGCCCCGTTATCTCCCGGCTTTTCTTACATGATCTCAACAGCGCAATTATCTGGGAATTTGCTGAAAAGATTAGGCATCGTTTCTTTGGTAATCGCTCCCCGGCCCTGCGTCTTATTAGAACCCGTTCGGTGCCGCTGAGGTGCGGGTCCTGCGGCAGAGTTTGGCCCTGATTAGCTGGAGAACAGGAGGCTGAAATCAGAGCTTTTTTTAAAGCGCGGACTGTGCAATCAGCCGAGCATATCGAGCTGCCAGCCTCGGCTCCAGACGGCGCGCACTGGCTACGTCTCGCAGCTCAAAAATGAGCCCCCGCTGCTACTTTAATCCCTGTGTTTTAAGGAGATGCAGCAGGCTGCATATATGATTTTAATGACCCAAACAAATCACAACAGAACAACATTTTCTTTATCGTAGCTCGTGGAAGAGCAAGTCCACTTCTAGATGAGTTTACTTGGGCAAATAAATGCCCTCCAGGTTACACGCTCGTCCAGACCCGGTCTGTTATGATTGTAGTTTCAAAGTCACTGAAACGGGCACAGATTCGGTTCAGAAATGCTATCTTTGGGGTTTTTTATCACCAACATACACTGTTGTAGATTGTGAAAGGACATTCCCTAAAGTGGTTTTTGAGTAGCTGTATGTGGTAATCTCACAGAGTGCCACAGTAACACGTATGTCTGTCAGATATTGATGTTAGACTCGTGTATGTCAGGGAGTCGGCCAAACGTTTATGTTTGTGGGGCCATACTGAGAGAGGGATATGCCTGGGTAAAGAGGGGCAGCTGCCCCCAGCCCCAGCTGCACCCAAACCTGCCCGAGCGGGGAGTGAGGTGAGGTGAGGACCCCACATAGAGGCGACTTGTTGCTTAGTGACTGAGGTGTTCTTCCGGGAAGCAGAAGGGGATTGGTTCAAGTCCCAGTGTAGCCGCAGTCAGATCACTTCCACTGTTGGGCCCTCAAGCAAAGCAGTTAACCCCATATTTCTACAGAGGTGACTGGCCTCTCCTCGATCCAATCAACGGTCATTCACTCTGGATAAAATCATCCACTAAATATGTCATGTGATGGGGTGTTCTGCTTAACTTTTTTTGGATCTTGGCCCAGTCTTATGGTACTCGAGCCCCCTGTGTTTTTCAAACCCAAAGACCAGGCTTGCTGTGGTGCCACATTTAGTGCGAAAATATAAGCATTGGGCGTCTCATATAGGCAGCCAGAGTCTCGTGAGTGCGTAACGCGGCCATACTGGGACATGGGGTGCACCTGGTGAATGTGGGGGGGGGTTGTCCTGTGCATGAACCCAGTCAGGAAAGCAGAGGACGTATCTGGAAATTCCCAAAAGATAAATTCTGTGCAGACGTAAAAGCGAATTTCTTCACACAGTGAGTGATCGCCGTGTGGAAGATAGCCTGCTCGGGCATGTTGTGGAGACTGCAATTGTCGGGTTTTCATAACCAACCTTGCAGCGGTGGATGCTATACTGGGAAGCAGTGGACACTAGGTTGCTTTTAGTAGTAGAAAATACTGAGCATTGTGAAGCACTGTGTGCTCATTGTTTAGTTGTTATTTTGTGTTTATGTGACAACGCATTATGTAATGCATTACCACCGCTGTTAGCATTAGGCAGTGGTACGGCCGCTAGCTGC